GCGCCGGGGCGGGGGGCTGGCAGGGGGGAGCCGGATGTATGGCTGTGGCTTTGTCCTCTCCCTCAGAAGGCCCCGTTCTAAGGTGGGCCCTGGGCCCCCCTTTCCTCCTTCCTTGCGTCCCATTACTGCTGCCTGCACCCCAGACTCTGAAAGGCGAGTCTAATCCAGGCTCCGATTGTAACTCAGCCCTGGGTCCTCCGCCTGCGGGGCTCCTACCCCAGGGAGACTTCCGGTTTGGACCTGAACTCTGCCACAGGCTTGCAGTCCAGGAGAGGCCCAGACAGCCCACTGTCTCCAGTGGCCACAGCCCCGAGGGCCCCCGCCGCGGAGTGCCGGGTACACACGTGATGAGCCATGGTTGGGCAACAGCTGCCCTTCCCCGGGCCCACGGCATCCGAGTCCCAGCACTCCACGCACGTGAACCGGCACCACCCACCCCCATGCTGTCCTCGGGGGCTGAATTTACGTGAACATCGGCCAGCAGCCCTTGAGGGGGCCTGTGGAAGTGGGACTCTGGGACTCAGAGCTGGGGCACTTCCCGCCTTCTCTCTCCTGCGCCCGCACTGAGTTAAGGTCACCAACTCATCTCCTTGCCCTTGGAGTGGCTTTGCAGACTCCCAGCTGGGCCAGCCCCATGGTGGTGGGTGAAGCAGCTAAATTCCACATGGCTGACCACAGTTTAAATCCCAGCCCCAGTAGCTCAAAAAGCACACTGTATGTGTGTGAGCGTGTGTGTGTGTGTGTGTGTGTGTGAGTGTGTGTGTGTGTGTGCGCGCGCACGCACTGGCCTCAAATCCCAACAGGGTGGAGAAATGGTGAGAGGACGGCAGCATGACACGCCCCATCGGAGGGTGCTCATTCTCCCCCTCTCCCTCCAACCCTGGTCACTAGCTCTGAGCGCTGCACGCTGTCCTCCGGCACTCCTTTCCTCGCCCCCTGCAGTGCTCATGGCCATGCCGTCCCCTCCTCTCTGAGGACGCTGGAGGGAAGGGCTGAGGTCCTGTCTGCCCTGCTTCCTCCCCGTTATTTTCTGCTGGGTGTGGCTGGGTTGTGGTGGGGGCTTCGTCCCCCCAGGCTGCAGCTTTCTCCACATGGTGGCTGCCCGTGGGCGGAGCCGACGGGAGGCTCTGGGTGCAGCCCTGGGCAGCCTCACCTTCCTTACTGCGTCCCCCCAGCTGTCCCCCATTCCCACCGCAGGAGCTGGAGGACGGCTACCAGGATGCGGCCAGTGACGTGCTGGTGGCCATCTGCAGGCACTCGTGGAGGACGGTGGCGCAGTACCTGGAGACGGAGCTGCTGACAGGCGTCTTCCCACACCGCAGCCTCCTCTACGTGATGGGTGTCCTGACCTCTGACGGTGGGTGCTGCCCGTGGCCGGTACCAGCAGGGTCCTGGGGAGAGCTCCAAGAGGTGCTTTGGCAGGGGGGCTCCAAGGAGTGTGCGACCCCCACGCCTCTGGGGAGCTTGGACTCCGAGCTCTGGGCATCTAGGCAGGGCCGACTCGGCTTGGCCTGTGCCCCATAGGGTCGGAGGACCAGGGGACTCCCTCTGCACCTACAGTGGCCTGTGAAACACCGAGGAGTTTCCAAAGTTGCATGGCGCCCTCTTCCCCAAGCCCCATTTGTCAGCCTCCAGTAGACCCCGAGCACTTCCCAAAGGGCCATGACCAGAGGGCCCTCCATTCACCACGGGTGAGCCGAGGCCCAGAGGGAGACCAGGGCTGCCCGTGGGCACACAGCGAGGGGCAGGGCCACAGCTCCAGCCCGCTGTGTGGACCCCGAGCCCAGGTCCAGCTAGCTTCGTCTGTGGACATAGGACAGAGGCATGGTGTCACCTGATGCAGGCCAGCACCTCAGGGCTGGGGAGACGGCCTGAGACCCAGCCTGGCCCGGAGACGCAGCCCTCTCTCCCACAGATGGTGTCCTCACCCAGGAAGACAGGGCCGGCTGGGAAGAGCAAGTGACCCAGGTAGGGAGGGGCCATCGACAGGCCACTGCCCAGGGACCTTCTGTGGGGACGGCAAGGGGGAGGGCAGCAGCAACGTGGATGGGGCACTGCAGCAGGGGTGGGAAAGGTAGGTAGGGGAGGGAAGGGAGGAGGGGATGGAAGAAGAGCAGCAGAGGGGGGAAAGAGGGGCTGGGAGAAGAAGGAGGAAGAGAGGAGGAGGAGAAGAAAGGGGAGGAGGGGAGCAAGGAGGGAAGGAAGGAGGACCAGAAGGGAGAGAAAGAGGGAGGAGGGATGGAGAGGGGAAGGAGGGAAGGAGCAGGGG